GCGGGTCTCGAACCCGCGGGCTCAGGCAATTCACTCACCTCAGCCTCCCAAAGCGCAGGATTACCGGCTGAGCCACCGAGCCTGGCTAAATGAAATTTTTTTTTTTGAGGTGGAGTCTCACTCTGTTGCCCAGGCTGGAGTGCAGTGGCATGTTCACGGCCACCGCAGCCTCTACCTGCTGGGCTCCGGATACTGTACCCGGCTAATTTTTTGATTTGTTGTAGAGATGAGGGCTTGCCAGGTCACCTGGGCTGGTCTTGAACCCGCGGACTCAGCTATCCACTCTCTTCGGCCTCCCAAAGTGCTGGGATGACAGGCTGAGCCACCGAACCTGTCCTACCGTGTGTTCTTATACACAGTCTATGGTTGAACAAATCCTCCTAGGCTGAACTTTTCCCAGGGATCTCCTGATAAGAGGCAATGCAGTTCCGACAGGTCGGTCCCAGGCCCCTGAAAGCTGAGAAACGTTAGCTCTGGCTCATCTGTGGAATGGAGAGGGGTGTGGTGGCACAAAGGCCCGGCCACCCCGTGCCTCCCACACTGCCCAAGAAGAGGGACCCAGGGTCCACTGAGCATGTGCTTATTGGGAGGTGGCCCTGCACAGCTGGCTCGGCCTCTGGGCACACTCACCTGCAAAGCAGAGGTGACTGTTTCTCAAACAAGCTGGGAGGAAGGAAACGCAGACACATTTCTCACTGTAACCTGAGAGGAAGATCCCCCAGGATAGTCCGAACCCAGATCCAAAGTGAGCGTGTACCCTGAGTGGTACCCTGAGTGGATGGGCAAAGGTGAGAGCCCCTCTACTCTGAGCCTGTCTGTGCCCTTGTCTTCCCCTTCCCAGGCTGTCCTCTTCAGTCTATGCGACGCCCTACGGACAATAGGTTGGGTCTCCTAAGTTGCCCTGGTATGCTGGGCAGTTCGGTCTCCCTTTTCTAACTTCCTACCAACGAAGACCATCAGGCCCACCCCTCAGCTGTGAGGACTGTTTGAGCCTCTGTTTTTGTGTTTGTTTTATAAAGCTTTTCCTCCCTCAGACCAGTGAAAGGACCTGGTGTGACTGGACCCCTGCTGCTGTGGTTCAGTTGGTAGAGTGCTTTCTCCAGCTGCCAGGTTATTTACCAAGGCACAGACACAGTTGGCCACCTCTGTCAGACCTGCTTTTCTCCACAATAGAGCCCACAGTTCCCCAGACCTAGCTAGTAAGGACAGCCATTGTCTTAAAGGTGGCAGAGAGGCCCCGGGTCCTGGGACCCAGCAGTTCCTGAGCAAGACTGGGTGGGCTGCAGACTTCTGGAATGCAGGGATGGCTTGTGCACCAGGCAGCTACAGAGGCAGGGAGTGTGGGTGTGCCAGCACCACTCCCACAGGAGAACTGGGGCTGGCACTGTGACCCAAGGCTAGGGAAAAGGGGTTATTCATAGGGAGGGAGACACTGCAAAGCAGTCTTGAACTTGAGGACTCCTGGGGTTCCCTCTGTGTTCTCTCACCATTTCGTATGGGGAATCCTACAGTCTTGACTTTGGAATTTGGTGGGTTTAGTTTTTTTTATTTCATTACTTTCCCTATACCCTTGTAAAAGTCCCAGAAGGCATAACCAGCACCTGTACCTTCCCATTCTTTCTAGTTAGGTGAGCCACATCACCTTTTGCTTCTCTCTAGGCAGATCTTGGCATTTCCTTTTATCAGACTTGCTGGGCATACTTGCAGCCAAAAGGGCCTCCATCAGGTGGCCCTGTGGTTTCTCAGGGCTACAGCCTCTGCCCCCCAACCCTATACCTGTGGAGGATGGAAGGAAGTTGGTCCCTGTAACTCCCCTGCCCCCTAGCCCATGCCCCTCTGGGCCCGGCTGGAGACGGGCACCTCCGCTCCTCAGCAGACCAAGGAAGTGTAAGGAAAGAGGTTATCATTCAGCTTCCGTCCAAGGGTCTGGCGGCAGAGCTTTTGTATACACAGAGGGCAATTTCCTGAGACAGCAGAGCCTGTCCTCATCAGGGAGCATATGGGAGCCTGGCAGCTTGTGGCTCCCCGGGCAGAGGAGGCAATTGCCACCATCTGCCTCAGCAGGCAGAAGAAGGGCCGCCCTGCAGGAGCCCCAGAGCTGAAAGAGGAGGCACCCAAGGGCTTAGCCCCAGCATTCTTGCCAAGTGGCCACCCTGTGGCCTGGTTGCACGTGTGCCCAGCCATGCCTGGCAGCCTCACACCCGGGAGCCTCCCTGGTTCTCGCTGCCTCCCGTCTGATCTACCCTCTTGCTCAAGCCGCAGGCCCGGTGAGTGTGACTGCCCTCATCAGCCTGGAGCTCCAGACTTGGGGAGTGAGTAGCCGCCACTGAAAATCAGTTGGCGCAGGGCTGAGAAGCCTCAGGGAACATTTCATCTCAAGTGTCTCAATCCACAGCGGAGCAAGCCAGGGACAGGTAAGGGGAGGGATTCACTGGGGCCTCAGGCAGGAAAGGAAGCCAGGCCCTACAAAGTGGGGAGACGTTGTCTTCCTACATATAGCTCAAAAAGGTTTTTTGTTGTTGTTGTTTTGAGTTGGAGTCTCACTCTGTAGCCCAGGCTGGAGTGCAGTGATACGCTCACAGCCACCACAGCCTCGACCTGCTAGCTTAGGCGATCCTTCTGCCTCAGCCTTCCAAGTAGCTGGAACCACAGGCACACACGACCACACCCAGCTTAAGTTTTTTATTTAAAAAAAACAAGGAGAGGCCAGGCGTGATGGCTCAACCTGTAATCCCAGCACTTTGGGAGGCCAAGGCAAGAGGATTGCCTGAGTCTGGGGGTTCGAAATCAGCCTGAGCAACTTGGTGAGACCTCATCTTTACAAAAAATCACAAAAAACTAGCTGGGCATGGTGGCATGTGTCTGTAGTTCCAGCTACTTGGAAGGCTGAGGCAGAAGGATCGCCTAAGCCCAGCCAGTTGAGGCTGCTGAGTGTGCTACTGCACTCCAGCCCAGGCAACAAGAGTGAGACTCCAACTCAAAAAAA